CGGCCCGGCCCGGAGCTGGCACCAGCAGCCGCGTCCCGAGAAGCAGGCTGTCCCCGGGCGTTGGCACGGCACCGGGTGCTGCGCCGAGCGCCACCCCAACGAGCAGACCCTGAAAAGCACCTCGTGGCGATGCAGCTACGCACAAGAAGCCCAGGTTTCTGCTGTTTCCCAGCAGCCACTCAACTCTTCAAAGAGGCGTGCTAAGCAAGGTTCCGACTCCGCTCCCTAACAAAGGCCTTCTCTTTCCTAGCCACCGCTACATCCCTTTGCCAAATGCATCACCGACTGAGAAAAACCCTGCAGGCACAACTTCGAGGGATCCCTACAGAACCCAGCAAACACTTGGGCTCCTCTGCTGTGTCCATTCTGAATCTTTCCCCAGTTCCTTCTGCTCTGGTACATGTCAAAGGGCAAAGCCAACTACGCCTCCCACCGGAACTGGCTGACACGGAAGCAGTCAAGGTTTGCTTAACCTCGCTGGCCCACGTAGCTGACAGCACTCGACCAGGAAAAGGTCTTGTATGGAAAGAACCACCGTGAATGCTGCTGTTTTTTCAGCTATTTCTGCTGCGGGTGATAAATGATGCATCATTGGATCCAGTGTGATCGAGGACTGCACCTTCCCGGCCCCGAGGGCTTGAAGGTTCCACAGTCTGCAGCTGTCCCCTCACCAGATGGTGACACGGAGGGATCCGGCCGCTCCACTCTCCACCTTGCCAGTCCATAACCGGGTGCCTACCGACACAGACAGGTAGCCGAGGGAAGGACAAGCTCCTTACCCGGGCACAATCCCTCAAATCCTCCCCTCCAAAAAAAATCCCTTTTTATGAGTTTCCTCAGTGCCCTTTCACCTCCTTGAGATGGCTGAAAAAGCCATCAGCTCCTTCAAAAACCAAGCTGCACTTTGGATGTGCTGCCCATGCCATCGGCAGAACGGTGCCCTGCCTGTGCCCACCTCTGGAAAACGGCCCGGTACGTTCAACCCCAGGGCATTGGGGTTGAACTAGATGAGCTTTAGGGTCCCTTCCAACCCAAACCGTTCTGTGATTCTAAGAACTTCCACTTGAGCGCACTGGAGACTGCTGCACTGTTCCCCACCACCAAGAAAATAATAAAATACAGTGAGTGACTACGTCCCCGCTCATTCTCCAGCACTTCACTCTCCCGCTTCACATGCCGAGTCCTCAGAGAAAGGACTCAGTCTTGAGCTGGAAAGGGTGACTGCGCTGGCGTCTCCGTGCAAAGCATCGTGCACAACAGCTAGGAATCATATATGGTGTAATTCCACGGGGATTTTCTTCCTGCTCAGCAAGGCTAGGTAACTGAAGTGCCACGTTATTGTAAACAAGTGATTTATTCGGATGGCATGGATCCAAAAATCCAGCTTTTGTCAACAGCCTTTCTGAAGAACTGTGGGAAAACTGGCAGAGGCAGCAGGAAAGCCAGAACTTTTTCAAATTATCAAAAAGAAATGTGCTATAAATATGCTCCTGGTGTTACCAGGCTTAAAGAACACAGCTTTTTCTACTTCCTATTTCC